GGCCTCTCTTTGGTTCAGTGGAAGGCCCGACTCTTCCTCCGTGGATGGCCGAACACTTGTAGCACCTCCACTGCCGCTGCAGCTCTGAAGCACAGCCCCACACACAATCCTTTTGCTGCAGGCACTGCAGGTGGTACAGGTGACCACAGCTGGAGAGACAGACATTCATAAACAGTCATTTTAATGTCGATGGATTGTTTTGCTTTTAGCAACAAGTTCCATCTAAGGAAGCCTAGTGAAGGGATCTGTGAGCTGTGGGCCAAGGGTTCTAATAATGAGCCATAACCAAAACTTCTGGCATAATCTGGATGGGGCGGTGTAAAATTCAATCAGTAGACCGGGTCTGCTTTTTGTCTGATAGGGCCTCTGCTGGGCTTTAGCATTACGTGGTTTGCATTGAGGTCTTTCAGACATTATTGCTGCTGTGTGCATTAAGGCACTCCCAGAGCAGGTCATTCTGACTGACTGGCTGTTAATGAAGATCACTGACTGTTTTCTCCTCAACTTATTTGGTTTTCCTTCTCCCTCCCATCATCACTAACCGGTCGCAGCAGATGGCCCCGCCCCTCCCTGAGCCTGGTTCTGCTGCAGGTTTCTTCCTGTTAAAAGGGAGTTTTTCCTTCCCGCTGTCTCCACGTGTTGCTCACAGCAAACTGTCTGATTGTTGGGCTTTTTCTCTAAAAGAATCGAGTCTTTAACTTACAGTTTGATGCGCTTTGACAAAACTGTTGTTTAAATTTGTGTTATTTAATAAACCTGAATTGAATCATTTCAGATGTTTTGGTCAGGCCATTATCCTCGGACGATGACTGCCTACAAGACTTCACTGATGCTCAATGACAACATTGCTTAACTTTAGATTTTGCACAAGATTGCTTAGTTCACTAGCTTATCATGTTGGTAAAACTCTCCATGATGGCATCTTAATCACAAATGGCTTATTGATTATATGGAAAATGATGAGATCATTAAAATTATAGGACACAGACATGAGACGACATGTAACAGGTCATACAGATCAGAAAATAAGAGCAGATCAGAAAATAGTTATTCAAGATAAAGTTTATAAAAAGATGATTCAGTTTGTTACTTGGTACCAAGACCTGGGTATGATCAGCTGTGAGCCTTTTAAGTCGTAAATATTGTATAAACAAGGTGTCACGACTGATTAACAGAACATTGGTTTGTCATTGTTAATGTGTTATTCAATGTTCATAAACTAATACTGAGTTACAGTCATGATGCGTGCTAATGACACTTTGGCAATAACAAAAGAAGAAACATGGAGTGCAAACATGATTATACAAAAAGTAAAGGAGCTGGAAGAGTTTCCCATGTAAACACACACACATATGTATACATATATAATGCGTGTGTGTCACCTGAAAACAATGATCTCCTCAGACGCGTCCTGCCTCCTCTTGTACTGCTGGAGGCAGATGTTACAGCAGTCTTGTCGTGGGTGGAGTCCTCTTGTGACAGCAGCACGCAGGTGAGCCAGGGACCAGTGGAGGTCGTAGTTCAACAGATTGGTGGTTGTTTCAAGTAAAGTCTGAAACATTTTTTTTCTTAGTTATGTCTACATTCATGTGCCATAAAGAGTTGAAAATGTGTAATTAGAATAACGTGTTTCCTTCACAGATCAAGGCTAAAGATTATTGTCACACCATGACATGAGCAGCACAAACCGCCCGTTTCAACCCATCAGATGGTAATGATGGGTTGGAACGGGCGGTAATGTCTATGCTATGCTGGAAACGTTTCCAAAGGCTTATGTCTGCATTCATGCAAACAGCAACATGTGTGTAAAGGCTCGAGAGGTTCTGATTCATCTGTTTTTGCTCCTGGCAAACAACGATTATTAACACGTCATCATACAATGCTGTTGTCCA